CCAGGTAAGTTGCAGAGTCCCCCCCCCCAGTCCAAAACAGTCCAGTGGCACCTTTAAGACCAAGTTTTATTCAGGTACAAGCTCTCCCTCCTCTGCGAAGAATCTGCATGTCCCCCCCCCAATAGCTAGCAATACAAAACAGTCCAGTGGAGCCTGAGCGGTGGGTGTTGCCTTCTGACACACTTCCGGTGATGTCAGGGTGTGTGGCATATGCAAATAAGTTGTGCTAATGAGTTATGCTAATGAGCTCCTGCACCTCTTTTTCTACAAAATGACCCCTGTCGACATGCATAAACAAACATGTACATTCTTTCATGACTTCAGGAGGAGTACCTGCAAACTCCAACGGAATGACCAAAGGTTACCCAGGAAACCTTCATGGAATGACAAGAATTTGAACCCAGGTCTTTCACCAAACTGACTCCATGGATTCTGTAATCTCACCAACATACACTCCCAGTCTATTAGGGACAGTCCCTATTTTTCAGGTATCTGTCCCTACTAAATCACTTCTTGGACCTTGGATGCCCTGTTAATATTTTGTTCATGCCAGTATTGGCATCCTCGGGAAGCAGGAACAGTAGCTCAAGCCAACCATGGCACAGCCGAGAGGTGGCACTAAGGTGGTGAGGGAGGATCTGGCTGGCCAAGAAGCAGCTATATCTGCCAAGGGAATTCCATCTTCCCCTTTGGGAGGGCATTTCTGTCCAAGAGGCTGGAAGCTGGAATGGAACATGTGCAGATTACAGAGTTAACTTTGTATGAGGCTGGCAGCTGGCTGGTGAAGAAATGCTGGCTCCTTGCTCTTATCGTTTCATGGAAAAGAGCCAGAGATGAGAAGGACCCACGGTGCTTTATATACTTCTAGGGTTGCCACCCCCCAGGTGGGGCCTGGAGATCTCCCAGAATGCAACTGATGTTGATCTCCAGTCAACAGAGTTCAGTTCCCCCGGAGAAAGTGGCTGCTTTGGGAGGTAGACTCATTATACCCTGCAGCGGACCCTCCCCTTCCCAAACCTTGCCCTCCCCAGGCTCTAACCCCAAATCTCTGGGAATTACCCAGCCTCAAGCTGGCAAACCTACTTAACCCCTTGTCCTTTCACTCCAAGGCCATTGGGCTCCCGTCACACTGAGCCAGGGTTGTTAAGCAATGGGCATTGGAAGCCACCTCCTCCCCTCCCCCTGGTATGTTTAACCCAAAGAACATTCCTGTTTCTTAAATCAGGAGCAGGGTGGGCTGTTAGACATAAAATAGCACATTATGCCAGTGTCAGAGTAACAGTGAATGGCCCAGACAGGACGAATAGGAGTGTTACAATCCTCTGTGAAAGGTTGTCAGGGGTATTTCATGAGCAGTTCACATGAACAAAAATATACAGATAAGAGAGGGGTCAGCTGTGTCATAAGTCCCCATTGGGAGGGGCTTAGTTTGCGCTGTCTGTTGAATGAATAAATGGTGTGCAAACAGCTGAGGATCAGTCACCGTGCAGGACATTTGCGGAGCGAAATGCATCTCTTGCTTGAGATCCCCTTGTTTTTATTGACTGTCCTTTATTCCTACTTGGAGGCTTTGGTCAAGCTTTTCGCACCTGCAAAGCGAAAGTCTGTCACCGGAGAGATTGTCCTGATCACCGGAGCTGGCCACGGACTTGGGAGAGCCACGGCTTACGAATTTGCAAAGCATCACTGCCAATTGGTTCTCTGGGATATCAATGAGGTAGGAAGCTATCAGTGTGAGGGCGAGAGTCTGGATTGTTAAGAGCAGTTGAGCCATTTTCAGAAGCATTCTACAAAAGAGTCATCTTGTGAAAATTCAGCTTAGCCAAATTTTAAAATCTTGGTGGCTATCGTTAAAATCCCTTCAAAAATCAGATGACCAATTATAACTTCTTTGTGTGTGTCATTAATCCTGATACAAAGGCCCATTATGTTCAGAGAAGCAAATGCTATATATGTAGAATATTTTATGATCAAGCTAGAGCATTCTCAGTTCAGGATCTTAGGTAACAAGGCTAGGAAAGTCCCTGGCTTGAGAACCAAAAAAGCGGTATTGGTTGCATTCAGCATAAGGGAGCTTGTCCAGCATTTGGGATAGTTTCATGAGGTTTCCATGTGTCTGAACTGGGAAGCCATCGAGGCACACCGAGACCTCTTTGTGCTCACTCAAGGTTTGCCTTTGGTGGCTTGAGTTTTTGAACATCTACATCTTGCATGTTGCAGGTCCATGTATTATTGATCCTCTGCATTTGAAGAGCTAAACAGTTATGATTAGATACAGGGTTCTTTTTATGTTTGTGTGGTGGTACACACTATTACTGACTACCTGCACCTTTTTTTGGGGGGGGGCTCTCCCCAAGACCTGATCCTCTTGCCCCAGCCTGCCCCACTCCGTGGAAGGAAGGAAGAACAGTGTAGTGGGGGTCTGCATGAAGGGGGGGGAATTAGTGGAAATAAACACAAGCTTACATAAGAGTTCTGTCCCCCGTTTTAACCAAAAAAGCACAAATTAGATAGCTGCCTACAGGCAGAAGTCTTCAAACTTTATGTCACTGAACTCACTTTTAACCCCTTAGTACAACGTGTGGCTCTTACTTTCATCTTTCTCCATCCCTCATTCTCCAGCTCATTTCCTCTATCTCTTGGTATTTAAGTGGTATTTAAGCCCTTGCTGACAGGCACTGAGGAGGACACAGCAGGCTGAGGTCGTTGGTAATCGGGGTGGGGGTGGGGGCTGCAGGGAGGAAGAGTACCCAAGTGACCAAGAACTTTGTCCCCTGACCAATGTTCCCTCTAAGCTGTGGAGTCCTGTGAACAAAAATTCTACTTGGTGAGCGAGCGATTTGGCTACTGCATAAACCAGTTTGCTCTGGAGCCCTCCTTCCTGAGCGAAGACAAGAATGTGTGAGCTGGAGGTTAAAAAACAGTGAGCTAGCTCACGCTAACTCAGCTTAGAGGGAACACTGCCCCTGACTCCCCTAACTGAGGCACCGAGAGTACCCGTCTTAGAGTGGAGTTTGGCTGGGGATGAAGAGGGCAGAAGTAGTGACTCCCAAGCCTTCACATCTACCTATTACGTTTTTATCCTGCCCTTCCCATAAGGAGCTGAGATATTGAGATGTTCGATTAATATAGCAAAGTTTGCCCAGTCATAGGAGCGTGCAGTGAAGAAATCTCCCAATAAAGATATTGCAAAAAAGGTAAACTTACATTTATTCAAGTAGGTCCAGTTCACATTTAGAAGGCAGTCAAAAGAAGAGAAAGAAGCCTAATCTAAAGAGGACTTTCCCTCTCACAAATGGCCAGCTTGTCCGGCATTATTTCTATGGGAGTATGAGGGCGCTGTCTTTACAGGAGAGACCCGCAGAGACATGTGTCTCCATGGAAGGCCATGTGTAGATAGTGAGAGGACAAAGCGAGGGGAGAGGGCAGAGGGCAGTTCCCAGGTTAAGACAAAGAGAGGCAGTCTATTCAAGGATATAACACAATACACCCTCAGTGCCCCCCAATGTCCAGGCATGCTGAGTTGCTCACTCCAACAATACATGGTATTCCCCTCCTCCATTTAGTTCCCACAAAAAAACCTTCTGAGATAGGTTAGGCTGAGAGAGTGACTGAGCTAAGATTATCCAGAAAACTTCATGTCAGAGTGGGAATCTAAACCCAGGTCTTCCCATTTCTACTCCAGTACTCTAACCACTACGCCACATTGATACATGGCAGGGGTCATTTCGTAGAAAAAGAGCTAGGGGAACTCATTAGCATAACTCATTAGCATATGCCACACCCCCTGACATCAGGGGCCCGGCGGTGGACCTGCAAGGCCAGCGGGAGTGCGAGGAAGCCCCGCCAAGGTCCTCCCTGGCTCCAGGCAGGCAGGGGTGGGGAGAGGCGGGGAGGAAGCAACTTACCCTCCCTCTTCTCCTGCCTCCTCCTGGCTGAATGAGGGCTGGAAGCGGGGCGGCCGGAAACAGGGGGCAGGGCTTCGTCATGTGCCCCGTCCCCCTGCACCTCACCCGGGGGAACTGTGTTCCCCCGCGTTCCCCCCCGAAATGACCTCTGCCCCTTAGTAACAGTTACTAGTAATGGCTAGTAACAGTTCTGAGAGGTTGCATCTGTGGAAGTGAATAGGAGGTTTGTTTAATCTCCACAAACCAAGATTTGATCCTGTTTTGGAATACCAGTTCGTGGGATGCAAAAGAGTAACTTTATAAACATTGTTGTCCATTTGCAGCATGGCATTGAAGAGACAGCTGCAGAATGCAGAAGACTGGGAGCCAGGGCTCATGCCTTCGTGGTGGACTGCAGCAAGAAGGAGGAAATCTACTGCATGGCAGAGAAGGTTTTCCCAACTCACTATGATTCATTTTAAAAAAATATATAGGGTTACATAATTGAAATGATTCATAGAACTTCCCTTCCCTCCCAGCTTCCCTTCCAAGTTCTGAGGCCTTGCCTTCATGTCTCTCGCTGCCCGGCATTTGGTCATCACGGGGACAGTTTACATCCTTGTGTGCCCTTGGAGGAATAGCCACTTGACAACTGTCTGCCTTCCCCCTGGCACCCCTTTTAAGATAGTGTGTCTGAGATGGTGGAGGTCTATGTGGTACAGAGAACCACTCTCAGCGTCAGACGTCATAAAGTATTTATTACAAAGAAAATGTTTACAAGCATACTTTTAGCACAGCACCAGACTGAGCAAAGAATCCAAAAGAAATTGGTAAAATGCAAATATACTGTCCCTTTCTCTATACATGCCCTATCAGACATTAAAATTGGACAAGCTCCATTTGTTCAGGATGCTACAGATCCCTATAGAGTCACCATTACCTTGAAGCTTGCTCCAGCTCTTGATGTGAGCACATAGTCAATGGCTGCCTTCCCAGAGGAGTGGTCTATGTCCGCTCATGGACTCAGCACCCAAAGGAAAAAAAAATACCTCCTTTCTTCTGCAAGGAGTTTTTATCATATCTGTTCCTCCACCCACTGACAAGGTCAGCCCAGGTCAAAGAAGTGTTTTCTAAGGATCCTCCCTGGAGGTTATTCCTGGATCCATTCTAGTCTAAAGTCCTCCACATCTCTGTTCAATGCTAGGAGGAGGGGGAGAAGGGGGGAAGCTTGACCGTCCCATTGTCCAGACCTATTAGCATTTGTATGAAGGGAAGTCTGGAGAGCAATTGCACTGACTTCCTCCTTCACATTCTGTTCTCTGCCCAAAGGAAAAAAATATGTTAAAACACAAAGTGGAAGTTTGGCTCATTTCAAGCCTCCCAGAAAAAAACACATCTTTTCACACCTTGCCCCCAAATTATTATTTTTTTAGGATACCATAGGGACATGATGATTGTGTCATGAGGGCTCTTTCCTCATGTTCTGAGGACTTCATCCATTAGGTTACTACTCCTACATAGCTGCTCATAGCCTCACCCTCTACTGGTGTTCCATCTGTGCAAAGACGGCACCTCCTCCTTCCATAACATGGCTCAGGCTTGATTCATGCATCTGCAAGCAGGATGATAGCAGTTCAGTTCTGAGCCAACAGATCTCAGCCTTGATAACCCTTACACTGACTCATCATGGCAGACATTCTGCCAGCCAATTATGCATCACAGATTATCTAGGCAGTTTTGAACATGACCCCTGCATGCTGGACCTCTGCAAGGATTCAGGTCCCAAAGGAATTGACCTCTCACCCTCCTTGGCAGCCCTGCTACTCAGAAAAGTGGCACAGCCAGTAGTTCATTGAACTCCATAAAATTCCTGCAGCCAGTATAACAAAAGCATGACTTCATTCAGAGGAGAACTTTCGTAACCTTCACTCAAAAGTACAACTTCATCTCATTTTCCTGAGGGATTCACTGCCACAAAATATCGCAGTGGTCATTAGGTCAGAGAGCTTTAAGGGAGGGTTAGACAAACGTTACAAAGGATGCCTATTAATGGCTATTATCCATGATGTCTAAATGCAACATCCCTTTTTTGAGGCAGTGAACCCCATTGTTGAGAGACAACAGCAAACATTTGGCCTCTATGCCCTAATGAGCCTTTGGCTGGCCACAGTGGGGAACCGGATGCTAGATTAGGTGGTCTATGGCCCAATTCTGTCTGATATAATTATGACACTTGACTTTCCAAAGGTGAAAAGAGAAATTGGAGATGTGTCTATCCTGATGAACAATGCGGGTGTGATCTCCACCACAGATCTGCTTTCAACTGGGGACCACGAAATTCAGAAGATATTTGAAGTCAACATTCTTGCTCATTATTGGGTAATTTTTCATGAAATCAATAATGCCTTAGTGGAACTCTAAGATTAATTTTATAAGTGTGAAGGACAAGTGGTCCAGTATGTTGCAGTGTAGAGGGTGGATACAATGGTAGCCGAGCCACACAACAACAATACAACAAAAAGTACTAAGTATGTGGCTCCAGAGTAGCACATAAAAATTATTATATCATTATAAAGATTTATTTTATAGTGCTGACACCAAACGTTAGATACTAAGTGAAAAGTCAGTTGGAGGAATTTACATATCACAAAGAACCAGTTTGAATAATTACACAATAAGTTGGCAATTTGAAAATCCAACTTGGCAGTAATTTACTGAGAAACATAGTAAATCTTCATAGTAATCAGTTAAGAGCTGTTGATGAAGAGAGATGTTGAGTCGACTGCTGTTTAGAACATTGTTAAGCTATTGATACTGCAATTGAAATGTGAAAGCTTTTGATATGCTGCAATTGAAATGTGAAGAAGAAGAAAACTTTGAAATGGGAGTGGAGCAGGCACCCTGCTGTCTCAACATCTCTCTTCTTCAACAGAGAGCCAGTTTGGTGTAGTGGTTAAGTGTGCGGACTCTAATCTGGGAGAACCGGGTTTGATTCCCCACTCCTCCACTTGCACCTGCTGGATGACCTCGGGCAAGCCATAGTTCTGTCAGAGCTGTTCTTGAAAGAGCAGTTTCTCTCAGAGCTCTCTCAGCCCCACATACCTCACAGGGAGTCTGTTGTGGGGAGGGGAAGGGAAAGGAGTTTGTAAGCCGCTCCAAGACTCTGAGTGAAGGGCGGGGTATAAATCCAATCCCTTCTTCTTCTTCAACAGTGCTTTACTGATACCTATGAAGATTTGCTACGTAGCAGGAGGGCTTGTACAGGGCAAGGACCCCATGGAGGTGAAGGACATTTGTCTGCTCTATGTACAGAGACATATTGTACCCTTTCGTGGGAGAAGTGTGAAATACCTAGTGTCAGGACTGCCCCCCCCACAATAGAAATTTAGCTGTTATTGCTTCACGTTACACTTAAGCAAAAATACATTGAGGAGAACATAGGAGTGTTCCACACAGGGTTGACAACTGTGGGTCAGGAAATTCCTAGAGATCTCAGAGTGGAGCCTGGGGGGGGGCTTCAGGAAGGTATAATGCCATAGAGTCCACCCTTCAGAGCAGCCATTTTCTCCAGGGGAACTGATGCCTGTCATCTGTAATATCAGTTGTAATTCTGGGAGATATCCAGGTCCCACCTGGAGGTTGGCAACCCTAGTTCCACATGGCATCACTTTTGATAAGAAGCCCAGCTCCTGCCAACCTAGCAGTTCGAAAGCAAGAAATTGCAAGTAGATAAATAGGTACCACTTCAGTGGGAAGGTAACAGCGTTCCGTGCACCTTGGTGTTTAGTAATGCCGGCCACATGACCACGGAAACGTCTTTGGACAGCGCTGGCTCTTCGGCTTTGAAACGGAGATTAGCACTGCAACCCTAGAGTCGGGTTCGACTGGCTTTCGAGCAAGGGAAACTTTACCTTTACCTATGTTGGTCACCAGACCCCCCCCCAAATCCTTGGAAAAGCCCCCTAGAGGCAGGGGGAGGAATGGCCACCACAGGTACAGGAGCAGAGGAAATGTTTGCCATGTGAACAGAACTGGGAAAGTCTGAACTTCCCACTGACATGACTTTGGTGTGCCCGTTTTCAGAACTTTGCAGCAAAGTGAATTTGGGGGAAATCAGAAGAAAGCCAGGGAAAACCCACTAAGTGCATGAATGCACTGTGATCTGTGGGGAAGTGGGAAGAACCCCAACTTCCCAACAGCAAATAACCCATGTGGCAGAGCTCGTATACAAATATTATACTGGCCACACCTAAGTAGAGTCATTGCATGTTGTCTGTTATTTGCAAAGATATGAAAGTCAAAAATTCAGTTCATTCAGTCTACACACAGACTGTCTACTGATGCTTAAAAGGTCTCTGCCACCTACGTAGATTTCACACTTTTGTAGTTACGAGTTTGCCTATGTGTAACACACTAAAGAATGAACTGAGTATTTCTCTTTTCCATCAGTCCATTTTTATCCTGCCCCTCCTCAGAGGTCAGGGCAGCTTACTTGATTTTCCATTTGCTGTTTTATCTTCACAACAGCCTTGTAAGGCAGGCCAAATTGGGGAAATAACTGGCCCAAGGTAATCCAGGGGCTTTATAGCTGAGGTGGGATTTTATGTTGGGTCTCTTAAATATTAGTACAACTATTACACCACACTGGATCTTTTTTAGATGCATTGTAAATAAACCACATTTTTAATTAATATAACTAGAAATGGGTAACATGATATGATCAATATATTTATTTCCAAACTGCACTGCAGTGGATGTGAGCAATACAGCTGCAAACTGATACTGGGCACAGACCACAGGGGTTTTATAAACCTGAAGGAAATCCCATGGTTGCAGAAAAGTCTGATTTTTTTAAAAAAAAAATATTGGGGGAATTAAAAGGAATTAAAAACTTCCCAAAATAACAGAACATTGCCTGTAGTTTTAAGAAAAGAATGCCCACTGAACTCTGTAGTTGTTGGGGTTGCTAGGTAACCACAACACTGTTGCCAAGCCCTGGAGTTTTCCAAACAAAGTCATGAGATGGGGGAACAGGAGAAGACTGGAGGCCAAAACAGCCCAGGAAAAGGTCGTCCCCCCCCCCACACACACACACATGTCCCTGATAGAGGAGATTTTGCTGGGAACAGGCCCAACAGCAACTACCAGAAACTTACTACATACACAACAAAGCCTGGTTTGATGACAACCGCCACTGCACTATTGGGACCAGCCTGGAATTAGCAGCAGACACTGCATAACTGGGACTGGCCTTGCTCTGGTGGCCACTGTGCAGCTCGGCCAGACATTTCAAAAGGAGAGGCTAACGGGTAGAAAAGGCAGGAAAGGTGAAGATGGTAGTAAATAAGCTAGGTTGTATTTGGGGGGGGGAAAGGAAGCAGGAAAAGGGGAGAGACTATGAGTGATGCCAGGTAAG